TGGGCAATATTGGCAAAAAAAATTAATCACGATTAATTGTGGTATTTAGCCGATAAAGATTAATTTGACAATTAATCCCCTTATTATTATCACCCTTATGAACTAGTCACATGACCAGTTTAGTAGGAAAGATTTGTTCTTCGTAAAAGTCTGTTCAAAATTACAGACTTCAGGCTATACATCAAATTTTAAATTGTGTTGATAGACAAGTAAATTACAGAACTTTTTTTTCTAATGTTCATCAAATTTGAAGTGGAGAAGAGCACCGAGAGGACTCTGCCTGGTGGCATTAATTGTATTAATCATCGAGTGCCAAACAAATAATCAATTAATGTTTTTCTGACAGTTAATTGCACACGATACGATTATGCCCAACCCTAGTGGAAGGAAATCAGTGGAAACCTGCATACAGGCTCCAGTTTGGGAGGTGGACCTGAAGCTAAAGAAAGAAAGATGACAGCTTTTTCCTTCTAATGTCTTTTAAAAGGAAACCCCTTGTTTCAAAGGTATGCAACTGAACAATCAGACAAACATAAATCTGTCCCACGAGGGGTGTCATTAAACAAGCTGCTCCTGGTGATTTATGTCCATAATGTCTTCTACAGTCTGTTTAGAAACAGAACTATTTCAAAACTGCCTACTGATGTTAAAAATAAGAATGAATCTCTATAATTTTGATGAAATTCAAAATTCAGCCTTAAGTTTAAGCATAATAAAAAAATGGTTTTAAATACAAAAACTGAAAAACTGGATTTGTTCTGAGAGCAGGAAAAAGCTGACACTGATTTTAAACCTTGGCTGTCAATACGTTCACTCGAGTTCTCTCAGTTTCCCTATTTCTATCTGTGCAATAAATAAAATATGAATACATATTACATTAGATATTTTAATGATATTACTAGGGATGTCCCGATACCACTTTTTCACTTCCGATACGATACCGATATTACAACTTTGAGAAATGTCCGATACCGATATTGACCGATACCGATATTGACCCGTTACTATAACAGTACAAGTCACACACTTTTACCTATTTTGTA